ATGCCTTCTGCACAATTTGGATCATTTGGGAATGATTCTTTTTTATTTCAGTGTCTAAATACGTGAAAGAGCTCCCTGAGAATGGGCAGGGGCTGTGGTTAGAGCTGTCTGCTCTCATTGTTTTATCTCCCCCTGATTAGACTCTCTTTTTATTTAGGTGTGCAGAAGTGTTGTGCCTCCCCCCCCCCACTACTCAAATCCCCTTTGCTGCTGAGGAAGTAATTAAACTTTTGGGCCCTAAAATAAATGTTGAAAAAGACCCTTCAGGTGCTGAGTTGTTAAGCCCCACTCTCTGTGCTTTGTTCTCTACTTTGTGTTCTCCTGCTGGGGAGGTTTGTAAGGTCAGAACCTCTTTTGGCTGCTTTTTTCCTCCTTAAGGCCTTTCCTAGGTGAGCTAGAACCATCTCTTACACCTTTTTTTTTTTATCCCAAAGGATGTATTTTCTTTTTGAAAACCAGCTGAGACCTTCCCTTTCCTAAACCTCCCCTGCAAATTGTAGAACTGGTAGTTGTGTTGGAGGATTCTCTTTGCCCTTGATGCCAAATTGATTTTTGCCTTTTTTTGCTTTTATATATTCTCTATATTCTTCRTACATGTATTTGTAGCTGTGGTCAGGCTTTAATTCTGTGTAGCTGCACAGAGAGGAGGCAGTTTCTGTCAKGGAGGAGAGGTTGAAACAATAGGAGCTGCAGGAAAAGGTGGAGAAACATTATAGATTTCACAGATTGTTGTAGGATAGCAAGACAAACTTGATTAAGTTTGGTAAAAACATGATTTAAACAGAAAAGGTGAAGTAACTCAAAAGACAGCACCAGATGGATGAGGTACAGAAAATACTTCTCCAGTGATAAATTTTTTAATAGGATAATTGTGACAACCTCTTTTAAAATGTGCTCTAAAAGTCAGGATAATAGGTAGTTACACCTAGTAAGAGTCATGGATAATAAAGTGTCTGGACTAYATGGATTTTATACAAAATCAGCAGGTGGTGGAATAAGTGTACTGACACTTTTTTTTGTACTAAGTTGGGTTGTTTTTTTTTTTTTTTGCAGAAGTCTGCAAAAAGATCAGTCCTTTGCCTCTGTTGGGTAGATCATTACAGATACTGTTAATAAATACTGTTAATTACAGAAATAACTGACAGATCAACAATCTAAAGGTCTGCTCCGTGTTGCTGTCCYGAGTCAAATGAGAGCAGCTTTGTGGAGGAACTTTGCTCTCTGTGCACTGGCTGTGTCTACACTCTTCCTCTTGCTAAATAGAAGGTAGAAAAACCCCAAAAAGTGTTGCAGAAATACCATAATACATTTATTAAGAAGTCCATGCATGTGTTAGATTGGCACCAGCTATCCTTGGCTTACTYTGTCTGGGAATTTAATGGAGCTAAGTTTTCCTTCTCTTTGCTGTATAACTGATAAAAGACAATTGTCAGCCCAAAATCTGGCCAGATAAATCTTTTCAGTCACCACAGTGGAGTCATATTGTCTTTGCAGATTACTTGGCTAAACTCAACCCAAAAATGAAGTACAGTGTGAATTGCTCAGAACTCTCATTTGCTCACCATGCTGGGGCTAGAAAGGTCTTCATTAGTGTTAATTAACCCCTAAACATCTAAGGATGCTTGTTTTACAGATGATCAGCAGTATATATAATACAGCACTGTGGCAGTATTGGATGAAATGATTTTATGATGTGTCACAGTGAGGAGTGGCTCCTGGCAGGCTAAAGGAATAAAAGCATAGGAAGAAACTCTGTCGAGCTGAAATTATTGTTCCTCTAAGCTCTGAGTGGCACATGCTGAAAAAATGATTATCCACTGAATGGGAAGTCTTTTCTTGTATTCCTTTGAAGCAAAATAATAACCTGRCACTTCTCTCTATCTACTGATTTTTTTGAAAGCATTCGTAAAAAAATCACTATTTCTTACATGGATATGAAGTCAGTTCCCCAAAAATGAATGCTCAGTATAAAAATCTAATAGGTAAGAAGAAAGACATTTGTTACATAGCAGTTGGCATAAATTTTGCTTCTAACGAGGATAAAATACATCTAAATAAATAATTACAGTAATTGTTGTAATTAGGATTTGTTCATGACAAAGCTCTTATAATTATATAATTWACTTTTGGTTTATTGAGATTTACAGTCTGAACTTTAATTCCATTTGATTCATTTAGAAGCAGGATTTGCTAGGGGAGGAGTGTTTTCAGGAAGCTGACTTGCTACATGCTCTCAGTATAGATGTTTCAAGTTTCTTCTTGGCAAAGCTGGAAGGCTTCCAGTGAGATGCTGTAAACGACCAAAATTACTGTAATATGGGAATCTAATAGTTGAAGGCATTCCTGGGTGAACATAACTGGATCTGACTGTTTCTGGCTTGAAATTCTAATAGATTTTCTCCCTCTCAAGTTTTAAGAAGTACTGGTTACAAATAAAAATGTTGTTGTCTCCTTTGCAAGTTAATGCTATTTAATACTAGATTTTAAATCTAATTCTTCTTATGTGCTATTGCATGTCCTCTCTGCTTCTACTAGAATTGACTCAAAGCAACTGATTTGCTGTGATTTGGCTCTTTTTGGCTTCAAGAWGAGTTTTTTAGCCACTGCAGTCACAAAAGCATCCTCAGGCTGGTTTTAATTACAGCAGAATCTGCAAGTATCCCTGAAGCGTGGAGSAGAGTTTTCCATCCCATCAGGGTGGGGATTTGCAGGTGGGGTTGGAATTGTGAGTGATGCAAAGGCTCTAAGGATTTCCAGGGKTTTTTTTCCCCCTGCATGGTGCTGCAGTGCTGAAGTGGATTCAGTACTGCAGCRTTTTCATCCCCGGGTGCTCTGTTCAGACTAAGGTTGAATCTGTGGAATCAGTTTGTCCTGCATTCCCCAGCCATGGTAAAAGCACACAAAAGATCCTGSTATTCTCCCCTGTTCTGCTGTTCTCCTGCAGGAATAATCACCCATAAATGTATGTGCTATGTGTGCTATAACCGTCCATAGTTAGATGAGCACAATMATTCCTGTGTTTTATAGCCTAAAGCACACCTCATTCTGCATKTCTAGAAGCAGTTAATAAACCCCTTTTCATAATGCTGGGTAACTTGAGATAACTTTGGATAACTTGAGTTTTGTATTATTAACCTAAGAGGGACTCACCTAGAGTTGTTTCCTTGGCTGTGGAGCAAAACCAAAGCAGTGTATTCTGAACRCCAGAGTGCTTTCAGAGATGCTTCTTACAGAATGTACATTCTTTCTCAGTTTTTCTTTTGTCTTTCTTARAACTTCAGAGGAACTCAGGGCAATCCTCTTTCTCCCTTTCCTCCTCCCTCCCCATCTAATTACAGCTGAGAATTTAGGTACTCAAACCCCAGGAAATTTAATAAGTGCCTTGGAGACCATTAGTGAATGACGCTGAATGCGTTCCGTTTTCTGCTCTTTGCTAAATATAGAGGTGGCACTGGCTCGTGGTGTCCTCGGCTGTCACTGGTACCACAGGAACTTTCTTAACCAAGYTGAGCTCTGTCTTATTAGCTGTGGGGATTTTTGCCTTCACTATTCCAGCTGAGGRTGCTGCTCCTGAGCTTCATGGCTTGAGTGCTGAGGAATCAGCTTTGAAATTCCAGCCTTGCATATGTGTTGGTGGATATTTTAGAACCATTTGTACTTGTGCCAGCAAGGTTTATCCTTAAACCTGAATAATTCTTTTTCTCTTCTTGATGTTTCTGTGTGAATATACAGACCCATGATAATCCTGCTCTTTTTTAGATTGGTTTTGTGRGTCTGAACACACTGGAATCCACTCTTGCATTGTGTGCTCTCAGGTGTAACTTTGCTGTTACCAGTCCTGTTCACCTGTGCCCAAAGGAGACATTCCTGCGAGGAAGATGCCCAGCATCCTGTATGTGATCTCCTCAGCACTTTATTCCATTTGTTTGCTGGAGAAATGGATAGTCCTGAAGTATTCAAGTATTWAGTGCAGATTTTATTCAGGATTGCACATTATGTTGTATTCTGCCTTAAGTAATTGAAACTACTTCACTGCAGTCATGCAAATAAAGTAACTGCAGTGTGGCCTGGAATTAACCTGCACTGGGAACTAACTAGCTCAACTTTTTTCTTTTCTCCCTCAGCCTTTCCATGTTTCTTTAAAATCAGCTATATATGTATTTTCAAATACTGTCCTGCTTGATGTTGATTAACATATTCTGCGTGCCATCAGTGGGATTTCATTGTGGTTTCAATATTACTTTTTTATTTAGGTTGGGGACACTTAATATTTTTCTTTCAGTCACACATCTGTCTGCTAAAATTTTGGAAGTCTAATCTCCCGCCTACCTCAGTAATTAAAGATTGGAAGAAAGATTTGTCTAGCAAATACTGTGCACAGAGTGAAGTAGGAAAATATGCTGAGGATGTCCTGTAATGGGTAGATGTTCTGGAGCAGGGGTTGGCAGCTGCATGTGTGTAAAACCATCCATTCTTCCCCATTATCCATTTCAGGTTTTTGCTGTTTGTCAGTAATATAATTGTATTTTTTTGGTGTTCTCTACCCACATGTTTAAAACAGCTGAATTGTACCAGTTATCCCACAGTAGGGCTTCAGGGAGGGGATGCAGTCACTCCTTGGAGGAATAATCAGCTTCCCTGTCACCAGGCAGTGTACAGCATTCTCCTCTTAGCTTTAACAGTACAGAAGGCACAGCACCCTTTGCTGTTTTATTACATCTAAGWGCTTTGAAGAGTTTCACAAAATGTGATGTCACCTCTTCTGTGCCTCCTTTTCTTGGGCAGAGGCCAACTGCAGAGCTATTGCTGATGCTGATGTCATTTGTCTCCTTGAATGAGACTTTGTGGCATCTTCCCCTTCCCATTCTTCCCCTTCTCCTCCTGCTTTTTATTGTGTAATTTGGATTCAAGCCTTCTGACCTCATCGTTTCCTTGAGTTGGAAGTAAAGGTGACCTCCTTATTGACAACTCTTATTTCTCCTTTCTTTTATGCCTCTTAGGGTGTTTCAAAGATGACCGTATTGTGTTCTGGACTTGGATGTTTTCGACATATTTCATGGAGAAATGGGCACCCCGTCAGGATGACATGCTCTTCTACGTCCGTCGGAAACTGTCCTATGTCACTGGGGAGACTACAGAGGGTAAAAAGGTGAGGAATGATGGATTTTACCTTGGGAAGCTTCAAGTCACATGGGATTTGGTGTTGTGGATTACCTGATCCATCTGAAGAGCTACAAACCGAGGTTAAGGAATTTTAATCTCTGCCCGCCACAAGGTGTTATAAAAATTTGACCCATAAGGAAATGCAATGGTTAATTGAGGTTGTGAGCCCTGGTGACCCTGCCTTGTCAGGGGAGTTGGATTGGATGATCTCCAGAGGTGTCTCCCAACCCTCATGATTCTGTGATTCTGTAACATCAGCAGCAGTGTAAATGAGGTGCACMGTTGTAGACGTGAGAAAATCAGAAAGCTCGCCTGTTTTTTTTTTTTGGAAGCTGATTTTTGTTTTGCTTTTCAGTGATGATACTTTGTAAACTGAAAGTGTAAGCCTGTAGAAAGGGAGGAAAAAAAGGAGAAGGAAGATGGTCACACTGTATTTCTAGAAAAACCTGCCTGAGATAGCAGAGTATCAGGAATGAACATCTGTTGGGTGTTCTCAGTAGCAGAATAGGAGCAGCCTCCTGGAGATGGGASACAGCAATGACAAACACTGGAAAAATTACTGTATTCTCATTCTCTACATTTAAGACAATGCCCCTCCTAAAGAACTATTGTTTCTTGCAAACTTAGCCAGGGATCTTAATGCTGCTTCACAGGTATTTATTTCCCCATTAGAGATCTGAGAAACTTCTTAGCATTCCATGGCAGTTTTCATCTTAGGCTGAGGAAACAGAAGCAACAGGTAGGATGGTTTTGTTTGGAATTARGATTGGTGGCTGGAGGAAAATAAATGGAGGAAGAAAAGACTGGGATTAGTTTCCTGACACRTGTAAATAATTGATGCTGTTGTTGAATCACAGGTATTTGTGCATGGTGTATGTGAAAGTGTTTGTAACCAGCTATTTGAGTTTTCTGGGTTTAGATGTGGTGATGTAAAGAGCCACAGTTGTCAGCTCCCTTGAGAAAAAGATTCCAGAAGGTCTTTCCACCCTTTTAGTGAAGATGCAGAAAATGGACAGAATTATCATCTCTCTTCTCCCTGGCCCTCCAACTTCCATCATGACAACCACTAAGGAGAAGATGGCAAAATATGATTCTTTCTCTATCAGATGGTTTCAATTTCTGCTGGTATATTTGGAACATTAAGACTTCTGGGGGAAATTTCCATTCAGATTGTTACTTAAGTGACTATAAATGCATCTCTGTTTCACATCAGATGATATTGTGGTTTTGTTCAGCGTGGTAAAAGCGTGAGTTTACCCTCTTGTCCTTCTCAAGAAGGAAGGTGAATCTCAGAGACAGCTTAGTTGTTTTAATCCATTCTCAGATCCGTGGTTAATCTGTTAAACTGCTTCATCAGCTTAAACTGTTTGAACTTCTTGTGGATAGGAGACAGTGACATAAACCTTTGTATTTGCTCTCAGAACATTATTTAAGCCTTCTAAAAACACCATAAATAATTTTTATTTGTGAGGTGGTTTCGTAAGTGCTGTTTACTACTAAATYAGCATTAGTGAATCGTGTGTGGTAACAGCTGGGGTGGGGAGTGGGCCTTACAGCACACACAGCATTTTGTAACTCTGCCTTCTCAGCCTCTGAGAATGGAACCTTTCTCATGACTTTGAAGTACTTCAGTTGCTTTATTGAAACCTCATTGGTACCTGTTCAGCTGTCCTGTTTGATTTCACCTGACTACTTTGCACTGTTTTCTGATTTTTGAACCTGCCCTCTGCAGTGAGACACCAAACAACTCCTCCTACACTTTGTGTTATGACTACATGGTTTTTAATTTACTTTGTAGTTTTGGATATTTGTTCTTGAAAGATGCTGCTGAATTGCCAAAGTCATGCTGTTAAGAGAGGAGAGAACTGGAAACTGMTATCTGTAGAAGCTGGATAGTAGTGCAAATCTTGCTGCTATGCGAGTTAGATTCCCAGGGGCAGACTGAAAAGGCAGATGAAGGTGAGAGTTCACAGTTGTTTGGGGAGTRGTTGTTTAGGACTGGAACTGGAGCTGTGCTGTTGGCTCCTGCTTTGTGCCCAGGCTGAGCCAAATGGTCTGGTGATGATTCCTTCATGAAATCAGCTCACTGAGGGTGAATTTGTACTGTGTGTGTACAGGGAAACCAGTTCATTGTAGTTCTTGCACAAACATTGCTGTATATRTGCTCTGTAGCTGGCCACCACAGGATTTGGCTGAAGAATGCTTCCAGAAGTTGTCCCTCAGAATTACAGTTCATGTTCATGGAAATTATAGTTCATGTTCATGAAAATAAGATCTGTGCAGCTTTGAGCACAGGAATCATYGTACTGATGACGATGACAAAAGGGTTGAGTGGGGAGAGGCTGTTTGTGTGACTGCTGACAATGGTGGTGTTTGTTTGTGTCATTTCCATGCCCTGGTGTGATGGTCCATGCCAGTGGGAAACAAATGTCAATTTGTCCAGCAGTTCCCAGGTTTTGGTGCCTGTCCTGTGTGATTAAAAGTCATTCCTGCTTGTGAATTAGGGTTTTTCTGTGCTTACTGGAACTGAAGAGTGTTGGCTGTAACATTTGATTTTAAGTTCAAATGTAACAGAGGATAAGCAAAAAAAAGCTGATAGGATGAAGATTAGAGATTCTGCTCGGTTTTAAGAYGGAATGAGAAGGGCTTTGGATGCAGCTTAGTCACGACAGTTTGAAGTAATAAACTGTACCATTTGSAATGTCAGCAGGTGCTGATGGTAAACTTCTCTACCACCATGRATTTTATTTTAAAAGACCTGTTAAATTATCTGCTTTGCAGTCCGCCTGGTCCAAGTGACTTTCCATTTGCTTCTCTTTTCCTTCCCACYAATTTCTAAACTGAGCATAAATGGGTGAAACAGCAAACAAGCTCCTAATATGTGAATGCCAGGACAGAACTGCCATATAGACTTCTGGGCTGTATCCACTACACAGACTCTTGGATCTCAGAGAAGTTTTTCTTGCCAAGTTTTGAAGATACCTCTTCTCTCTATGTCTCTAAGCAAAACCTCCACCAAGGTACTGTGGAGTGTAGCATTTCCCAAGGTTAAGAAATTTAGCAGGGTTTTGTAAGGTGGAATCCCTTTGACTTGTTGCTGTTTATTAAGTCAAGATTCAAAAGCCCCTCTGCTCTGCCTCTCATGCCAGCTGATTTGACCTACCTTGATGCTCACTTCCAAAGGGTCTTGGACACTGCAGGTTTGAAAGGTTAACACRGTTGGACTTGGGATTATGATTTTAAAATGCTGTTAGGTCAAGATTGAGTATCTGATCTTTCTGTAGAGAGCAGTTTTACTTTCTCCTGAGAATCCAGAAGGTGCAATTACATAGTGAGTGTTACACAGACAGMTGGAAAAGGAAGATAAAACTTAAGTGATAGACCAGCAGGGCTGGGTTTATTCTGCCTTTCGTTGTGCCTTGTCACCTGAAAAGGTGTTGTATTTATAGGGCAAAGCAATAAAAAAGATAAATGTGAGACACCCTGGGCATGTGTTCTGAACTTGCCAGATTTTGGAGTAGTTCCTATTTTCCTCAGCACCCCATGMATGTGGAGGAGTAGAGTTGCTGCCAAATGCACAGGATAGATATTCGAACTGTTAAATCTTCAAAAAGCTTAAGCTACTGATGTTGTGACTGTAGCTTCAGAGGCAGAACTGAGCAGGAGCCATGGATTACGTGTTCATGTGCATCCTGTGACACAGTAAATACTGCTTGTGGTGTGTGACCAGTTCATTTCCAAACCTAAATTGCTTCAGGCACATGAYTCGCACTGAAAATCACAGGATTTTTCTGACTGAATCCATGTTACAGTGTCATTGTCTGGCTGCCTGGAAGATTCAACAACCTGGACTCAGCATCTAGTAAAAATATGGGTTTTAAGAATCTTTCATTGCTGATCTGTTACAGTGTTGAGGCTTTTTTCAACACTATAAGCAAACAGGATGTCTCCAGAARAGCTCTRTGCTATACTTCATGGCAGTCCCACRCCACCACGYGAACATTGARGAGAAACAAATSGCCAAAAATTGCATCTCTTTTGCTGAATAAATTCTCTCCTCATTGGTGGGTAGTATGTGGAAACAATGATTGCAACATGTGCAAGTCGGTGTAGTCTCTGTTGTGCTGAACTTGTAGAGGTGTTGCAGTGAGCAGGAACAGTGGCTCCTGCAAAGAGTTCAGCATCCACACTGATGCTCTCATTTTGAAACATGAAAAAGGAACCCTGGTGTTACCAGATTAATATCCTGATTTTTTTTTGTGAGGAGCTCAACATCTTCAGTGCAAAGATTTGACCTTTCTTTTGCAGTTCCCCTTGCCAAAAATCCCCGTTCTTTTTCATGCTACTTTGCTGATTTTGATTGTTTAAATGTGTGAACATAAAGGAGCTGCTACTGAGAGCCTCTGCTCATGATACACTTAAAAAATCATCAGGGTTGRAAGAGACCTTKAAGATCATCAAGGCCATCTCCATTGTGCTATGTGCTGTGGCAGACTGCTTGGAAAAAAGCCAAGGGAAGAAAATCCTGTGATGAATGTGACAGGAACATCTCTTTCCCACACAGAGCAATCCAGGCTGTCTGTGACCTGCACTATGCTTGTGACACACGTGGCAGGCTAACAGCAGCCAGGGTGGTGATACTCTCATCTTCTGCCCTATTTCCAGAGGAAATTCCTGTTTCAGGCAAAGCAAGTGATATTCCTGTCTCAGCAACTGCTGAGATACCTTCACAGTACCACAGGTTGGAAAACTCCAGGCTCAGGATGGGGGTGTGGGCTCGAGAGGCATTTTTAGTGAATTGCTGTATATTGCTTCCAGTCTCTGAAGAACTCTTCTTAAGGGGTCAAATAGGGTGACAAGAAAGCCAGGATCAGGTGTGATTTTAACATGAATGGCACTGAAATGTGGCAGCCCTGAGCTTTGTGGCCAAGAAGCTGCTCTGTTCTCTGCTGCAAGAGAGAGAAAACCCGGAYCTAGTTTCCCCAC